CCTATTGTGATCCTTTTCTGTGTGCCTGGCAGTGGTAGACATGTTCACCTAGATTTTTAGTCTCAGAGTCATAGAGGCTGAGGTTCACATGGTCCACTAGTCCCTTGAACTAATTGCTTCCATGCATCCTTTATTTTCTTCACTCATCTTTGCCCTGGATGAGGAGAGACAAATAGTTGCACCTTACATGGCCACTCACAAGCTTTTAATACCACAGTTTCTACTTACCAAAATAGAATGTAGAACTTTGTCTTTGTGGACTACATTATGCCAGTTGACCTTGATGTCCCTGCAACTGTGGTTCTGAATCTGCAGGGCCATTGACTCGTTCCCTCAAGGTGTTTGCCATGGCCAAGAAGCTTCCACAATACTGCCCCTTGTTAGCTCTGTTATATGCATGGATATTTTTGTAGGACTGTAGTGGTTATGATTGTGTGCCAACTTGGCTGGGTCTGGTTGAGTGGCTGGGCAGCTGGTGGTAGTTATTCCCTACGGTGATATTGGTAATTAACTCCATGGTGGAATGTACTGGAGCAGCCGAGTAGCTGCTTTAGGGATATGGTCTGCTTCCCACATATAAGAAACAGCTTTGTGAGTGGTCTCTAGCTTATGGCATGCTTGGGCCCTCCATGTAACTGTGTCGTCGTTCAGCAGCCTGCCATTCTCTGCTGACCTTGGGACTTTCAATGGATTTATGTGTGTGGTTTGGTGACACTGGAACTGTGCATTTTTACTTGTCAACCTTGGGCTTATGAGTCTCAGCAGCCAGCAGCTGTCTGAATGAAGAAAAGCCTCTAGCTCCAGTGGGCTGGGGGCAGGAGGCAGAGATGAAGCCCAAGGTTGAGGGACTTTCACCCAGCCCCTAGAGCCTGGAACTTTGAACTTGGACTTAAAGCCTTCAAACTGTAAGATAATAATAAACTCTTGTTAGTTCAAGCCACTCCATTTGTGGTATTCTTTCAGAGCGGTACTAAGTAACCGGAGCAAGGACATACAAATACATATGTAGAAATACAATTTGCCAGACCTATATATGTGTGGGAGCTCTGGTGGTGTAGTGCCTAAGGCACTTGACTATTAACCAGAAGGCTGGCCATTCAAATCCACCAGCCACTCCTTCGAAGGAAGGTTGGGCAATCTACTTCCAAAGAGTAGGCATTAAGTTTGGTTTTTGGTATACATGTATAGTCCTATATGGGTATAGTCCTGTTCCCCTACCCATAACTGATCATGTTGCTGTCTACCCAAGTATCCACTGGGAGATAAATGTTTGTTATTACTAATAATGCATGTTTGTGTATGTGATAGTGTTTACCTTTGTTGTTTGTCCTACTTTTTTTCATGGTATTGTGTTTTTCCATATTTGTGACATCTTATTCTAATCTTTTTTGCATAGTCCCTTTGCATTTTAAAAGGAGCTCTGGTGGTATACTGGTTAAGGCATTTGGCTGCTAACCAAAAGGTTGGTGTTTTGAACTCACCAGTGCTCTGTGGAAGAAAGATGGGGCAATCTGCTTCTGTAAAGATTTATAGCCTTGAAAACCTAATGGAGGTCACTATGAGTTGGGATTGACTTGATGGCAGTGAGTTTGGTTTTTGGTTTTGTTTTGTAGAATGGATAAATAAATTGTGGTAAACCGTGGTTTACAAATGGAATACTATAGAGCAATCAAAAAGAATGAACTACTGTCGCCAAAACAGTATAGACAAATCTTATTTATCAACATCAGACATAATGTTGAGTGGAAAAAAATATGCAAAAGAGTATAAGCTTTATGATTTGATTTTTATGAAATTTAAGAACACACAAACCTAATTATGGTGATGGAAATTTAAATATGGTTACACACTTGAGGCGGCACTTTCTGTTGGGCAGGGGCACATCCCCATCTGAGATTCTAGGAATACTCTATATCTTGACTAGATGTTAATTACATGGGTGTATGTCCATGTATGTATGATATTGTTAGGTGCCATTGAGTCATCTCTGACTCATAACGACCCTATGCACTGCAGAATAAAACACTGCCTGGTCCCGCACCAGCTCTGTGATCCTTGCTATAAAAGAGCACATTGTTGCAGCCACTGTGTCAATCCATCTCATTGAGGGCCTTCCCCTCTTTGGTCAACTCTCCATCTTACCAAGCATGACATCCTTCTCGAGAGAATGATCCCTTCTGATAACATGACCAAAGTAGGTGACATGAAGTCTGGCTATTCTTGCTTCCAAAAAGTATTCCAGCTGTACTTCCTCCAGGACAGATTTGTTAGTTCTTTTAGCAGTCGGTGATACTTTGAGCATTCTTCACTAGCACCACAACGCAAAAGCATCAGTTCTTCTTCGGTCTTCCTTATTCATTGTCCAGCTCTTACATGCATATGAGACAATTGAAAATATCGCGGCTTGTATCAGGTGCACCTTTGTCCTCAAGGAGACATCTTTAGTACTCAACACTTGAAAGAGGTCCTTTGCAGCCGACTTGCCCAGTGCTATATGTCAACTGATGTCCTGACTGCTTCTTCCATTGGCATTGATTGCAGAACCAAGTAATGTGAAGTCTTTGACAACTTCAGTCTTTTCTCCATTTATTGTGATGCTGCTTATAGGTCCAGTTGTGAGGTTTT